ATGAGCTGTGCCCATGGTTGGCAGTGACACTTATTTCTGCTGCTCTACCATCTGGGGCCAGCCCAAGACCCAGCCATGCCATTATACATGAGGAGCATCTTCAAGCTCTGCTGGCATATCAAGGGTAACCCATGTACCTGATGAGAGGTACATGGAAAAGAGAGTTACGGTTATGCTTAGAATTACTGCTGGCTCCATTAACACTGAATTAATCATTTAGAGTGAATTTCAGACTTAGCAATTTGAGGTGCTGGGTAGCAGGCTCTGCTCTGGTTTTGCTGCTTCCTCTACCCGCTTATTCAGGGGCAGCTTTTTCAAAAACAAGTCTGAAGTATTAACAGTTTTTGAGTATGGTATTAAAAAAAACACACTGTGTCTAGTAAAGACTGTGTGTCATACAAGTCATTATCCTAACAAGTTCCTTATTAGGGACAAATCAATGTCGTATTAGTGCCAACTTTATCAATTTCCTACATGGGCATCCTTCCCTAGGCAGGCTCCTTGCATTGGTTCCTAGGCAACTGTAATAATATTGCTGCACGTGTGTGTCAGGCATTGATTGCCTTTGGGGCTTTTTTTGTGTTGTAAGTGAACACAGACTGATCCATTTTCTTTTTCTTTGTGTTCTGCTAAAATCTCTGGGAGCTTTGAAGGGTGTGTCTGCAATACTCACATCTAAGCAATTCAGAAATACTTGCAGACAGGCATGTGTGCGTAACGTGGGAGGGTGATCACACTGGAACTAGGCAAGGCTTACTTCTGCTGTTGTAGTTTGCTCTTTGGTGTTTTTTAATATCCAAGTTTGAGGTGTAGTATTTTTGGATGTTTGGTGAATGTATTCTGAAGAAAACATAAATAACAACCGCATTTTATCTTTTTTTTTTTTTTTACTCTGCATGGAGGGAAGGAAAAAAAACCTGAAGAGTTCTAGTCAATTAAAATCCTTACTGATATTCCTTTCACTCACTTCAGCGAGCGTGCAAGGTCTGGTATGGAGGAAGTGAGTTTTTAAAATAAAAATAGTGAAAGTTAATATATAAAATTACGAGAGAAAGGATGGCACTCTAGTGAAACAGGGAAGCTCTTCACCCTTCTCAGCTTTTCTAAGAGCTCCTGGCTGACCTTGAGCAAGTCAAGGTCACCTCTTGTTTCCCATTTGTGAGGTGGGAAAGGTGGTGTATCTGTCATGCACCGTTTGTTCATTACAGGGATGAACAGCATAACCATGAGCTGCTTTGACTCCCAGCTTGGTGTTTGGAAGCCAGACAGGTAAACCCCATGTGCCTGATACTAAAGCTGTCCTAGTAAACCTTGCTGGTCCCAGCAGCTTCATCCCAACATGGTCACACTGGTCAGTCTGTCAATCTGTAAGGTTCCTTGGAGACAAATAAAACTGTCTTTCAGATTACATCCTGGGCCACTTGATCATTGCTGGTTTATTCTGTCTGCTTAAGTTGGAAGGTCTTTGAGGCCTCTCTGTGTTGTAGCTTCTTCTTTGGGCACTTCATCTTATCCATGGGCATCTAAATGGTGGTGCAGTACAGAAGGAATATACAAGTATAATCAATTGGTTGTGCAAAATCTGGAATTAATTGTATCATAAGCCTGTGAAATACATGTAGGAAGCATGAAAACAATTTGCCAGAACCTACAATTTACCAAATATTGATACGTTTATGTTTCAAATGCCCAGACTTAATGGGAGATACTAACATTGGCATTTCCTCAGCATACAAGGAATTATTATTTGCTTTTGATGTAGAAAGGCTTTTTTTTGGTAACTATTAATGATAATATTAAATGTCAGGATTAAATAAGAAGCAATCTGCTTGTAATATTCTAAGAAAGAATATTATATTGATGGGTTTTTTGGTATCACTGGAAAATTGCTCACCATCTCTCCAAATCTCTGTGATTAGGAATGATTGACTGGTTGACATTTCCAGAGTCAGTTAAGGCTGACTGGATATGATATACTGAAATGCAAAACTTTAAATGGTTTGGGATGGTATTGCTCCATCACCTTAAAAGGATGAGCTCACCATTTTCTCAAAGGCAGAGCAAGATCAGCATTGCCCCCCACCCAGCAATGTCTGAGGTTTTTAGCAATGAGGGGATGCAAGCTTGCAGTGAAGACTGACCCAGGTACCCTCTCTACCTGCCCCCACAGACAGCAAGAAGCAGCTTTGTTCTCCATCTCAGAGCACTATTCTTCCAGACTTCTGTTTTGTTGTCATCTGCACCCCATGGTTGGGGATGGGAGTACATCAGTCTTCAGTGGAGAAAGCAGAAAATAGGTCTTCAGAGAGACAGTCAGGAGTGGGGGCAACAAAATGGACTGATGATGGTCATGATGGCTGGCGATGCAGTAGACTGCAAGATCATAGAATCATAGAATGGTTTGAGTTGGATGCAGGACTGGCTGTTAGCACTGCCTCTGGTTAGTGCCCGGCAGAGTGGGGTCCTGGTCAGAACTTCAGCTGTTGCACCAGCTCAAAGAAAAGTGCAGACATTTCTCCTCTCTGTTTTGGTTCTGAACAATGTGAGAGAAGTTTGTTAATTTTTCACTGGACCTATTTCTGAAAAATTAATTCGTATTAATTTAAACACCATCATTCTTTCTTTTCTCTGCTCATGGGCTTTGACTGAGGCAAGCAGGTGTTGCCAGCTCCTCTCTCATCTTGCTCCATCCATCAGCAGCAATTTTTGACAAGTTTTGTGACTTCCATGCGTATTGCAGAGAAATATTGAGCGAGCGTAGGGAGTGGCAATGCGAGAGCACAATACTAGACTCATCAATCATTACCCTCTAGCAACTTCCAGGGCACTGCAAATTGCTGACTAATAAGGGAGAATTAGCATGATAAAATCACTATTAGTGTCATTTCAGAAGGATGTAAGGTTTTAAAGACACTGCTGTCCTTTTTGCCTCTCCCTCATCCCTTAGTGTGTCTGCTTATGAATATTCCAATCAGCAAAACACATGATCATAGAATCACAGAATGTAAGGTTGGAAGGGACCTCAAGGATCATCTGGTACAACCCTTTTAGGTAATACTACAGTTCATATGAGATGGCTCAGCACCTTGTCAAGCTGAGATTTAAAACATAAGCACACGCTTAATTGTGAGCACATCGCTAATCCTGAGGAAATCACTGGGATATGAGTCTGAAGCATATGCTTATGTGGTTCACTGGATCATGGCCATAGCACACGCTCCTGGAGCACAGAAATTACAAGGATCTCTGTGTGAGCCAGTTTCTTGATTCAAAACCAGATTTAGACTCGCTAACTTGACTTTAACATATGTCAAGCAAGAGATACAGTAGATATACAACATTATACTTAGCCTCTTTAACCTTCCTTTTCTTGTTATTTGAGTTTTAGTAGTTTATGCTGGCTAGAAATGTGCCTTTCTAAACCTCTGCATAGCCTTCTCAAAGCTCTGTGGTTAAAATCTAGATCATGTTTGGACCCATGCATAAACCTTAAAGTGCAGCCAGATCAGAAACAGCTTTTTCCAAGTTGCAGGTGAGAAGCAGATGCAGCTACAAGAGCGAACAGGTTGCATTAGCTTACCAACTTCTCTCAGTATTGCCAGACTGCATACTAAATACTACAGTTTGCCTTACACCTTCTTCATGTTTGGGGTTTGTTCCTTCGTGTTTTCAATTTTTCTTCACAGTCTTGAAGACAAGGATTTTATTTCTGACGGGGAAAAAAACCCAAAACCAACAAACCTCAGCAAAAAAAGCTCAAAGCAAATAAACAAAAAAACCCCACTAAAGTATAACAATGGACAGTTGGATTCTTCTATAGTCACTTGACTACAATAATTGCAAAAAAGGAAAAGCCTGAGCCATTTCAAGACTTCTCACAGAATCGCCAAGGTGACCAGCACCCATAATTTATGTTTCAAAATTGCTCTAAGTTGTGATGTTTTGTTGCTTTCATTATTTGATTATCCAACTGGAATATAAGACTTTGTACCCCTGTTATCCTTCAATTTTTTTTTCACTTGGTTGCAAAGCAGTAGTGACTTACTCATCACTACAGATAGCTATGTGCATTGAAAGGCTGAGAATGTCTGTTTAGTTGTAGCCCACTCCATGATCACCAGATGTTTCATTGCTCCAGCCAGCTGGAACTGGGGCTTGAGCTACTGTGAGATTACAACCATTGCCTTTTGAGTCCCCCAGAAGTAATCCACTCATCATCTTTGAGCAGTTGTTTTGTTTGAAATCATTAAGATCACATTTGAGAACAGAACAGTACAGCTTTGAATGCCAGAAGATGTAATTGTGATGATCAAGTCCAGTTTTCCACAGGACACAGAGCAGAAAGTATCACCTACATCTGCTTATTTTTTTACTTTGTGGAATGACTACTACTCCTGCTATAGAAGTGGGCTGTACTTCACTCT